GAAGATACCCAGGGAACTTAAATGAAATAATTTGCTGATGCATTAAGTGGGAATCAAAACCCTGAACTTTGAAGTGAAAGATCTGCATCTAATTCAGTACACCACAGTGCCTCATGCAGGGTCTTTTCCTCCCCACTTCCCCCACCCCATTCTGTAGTTGAATTACTTCAAAAAAACTGGATTAAAAATGGTTTTCCACTGATGCATGGTGCTATGAGAGAAGCAGATGAAAAGGACTAGTAAAGTACTTGGTTTTATTAGTCACATTTTTCAGATGGATAAATTCTGTGACTTGCCTGGGAGACCCTTTGGTCTGGAAGTTTAAACAGTTGATACTGAACTAAAAGGCATGGAGTATTATGGTTGACACTTACAGCTAATCTCTGCCACCCTTGCAAATACTGAATAGCACTTTGCTTTTCACATCAGAAGATACCAGATCTGGTTGAGTAAGTATAGCATAATCTAGACAGAAATTTTTTGTGATTTTTTTTTTTTTTTAAACACTCCTCTGAGGATGTGGCTAACACCTACATAGGGCATCTGCCCACCTTTTCAGCTGTGTTCATAGTGATTCACTCTAAACTTGGCCAGAACTGCTCTCCTTTAACTTTAAAAATTAAAGAGATGCTGAAGACAAAAAAAAAAAACCTAATTCTGATAACTTCCAAAAGTTAAAAAAAATAAAATTATAATAATAAAAGCTTTAATTTACAAAAACAGATACCATTAATTTTCATGGTATTTGATAAGGTGTTTAATTCTTACATATTCAATATAACGTTGATATAATCCTTAACTATTAATTATGTTGCGAAGTGCTAGAATTCTGTAAAAAATTAACCTAGGTTTATATTTGTTACTAATGGCTGTGAAAAACATTCGTCAGGCCAGGGTCTCAAACCTGGGGTCTTAACCTGGCTATCAAGAGTGCTCATCCCAGCCTGCCACCCTACAGTTGATCACCTAGCATGATTCAGACTGACTTGAAGCCTCCAGCAGGGCCTAACCCTCCACCTACTTCCTGTCATCAGTGTCAGCTGACCCTCCACTACCCCCATATAAAAACCTGCTCAGGACCAAAAAGTGTCTGGACAACAGGGCTCAAACTGACCCAAAACTACTTTGCCATTCCCGTTAGCTTGCTGCCCAACTCTACACTCTGCTTGATCTCCTGGCTTCTTGAATTGGTTCACTCCTAGACCCTGCTCTAGAATTGAATTCCTGGCTTCCTGATCTAGTTTGCCCTCAGATTCTGCTCACTCATCCTGACCTTGGTTGGCACCTCAATCCCCTAGTAGTTCTAGACCTGGACACCCATATCTTGGCATGACAGTTTGCCAGGACCGCCTCCATTTGGTGAAGAGGGTCTGGGATGGATCCCAATCCCCTACCAGGGCCCTTGGAGCCCTCCAGAAACTGATAAAATGGGGCTACCTCATTCCAGTGGGTGCCTGCTGTGTTGCAGCAGAAAAGGGACACATAGGTGGTGGGAAAACCTTCTGAGTCCCAACACTAGTAACTCCCAAACCCATGCAGATTGACCTGGGGGTGCCAGCACCTTACCCAAGATGTATAGGAGCAATGCTACCAGCATGACTTCTCTCTCTTGTGGGGGCACAGGACACAGATTTGCCAGCTGCCCCAAGACAGGACTAGAGAAACAAGCTACCCAGGCCCAGCACCACAAACTCTTCTCACTCATTTAATAATGGGAATCTGCAATAAGCCTGATGCTTGGAACCCTCAGTTAGTTATGTGATCCACCTCCAGGTCCCAGGTCAAATCCACCTACTTCTAGTTCTAACTGCTTTATTAGACTCTGGAAAAGCAAGCAACTTTATTGACAAGACTGTGACCCAGGCCCTAAGAATCCTTTTATAGTGGCAGTCTAAGCGAGAGACCACCAAAACTGTAGACCCCTTTTGTGTCCAGCCCATGGAATGGGAGACTGCCACCCTGAAGCTGAACATCCAAGGACACTATGAGATGCTGTGCATTGAAAATTCTGTTTCCTGTATTACCAGTTGGTCTTGGGGTTCCCCTGGGTCATCTGCCACAACCCCCTAGTTAATTAGAAATTTCTGGGAAGTTTACTTTGGTTCCAGCTACTGCCAGCAACATTGCTGGAATCCCAGGATGGTTACCTGCCATATGATTTAAGCAAAGGTCCTGACCACTGTTGCCCCCCATGGGGTTCAGCATCCTGAGGTCAAACCCAGCATACCCCCAAAATACCAAAATTACACTGACTTATTCAAGAAAGAAAACATGGATGTCCTTGTCCCATCAATCTGCAGCCAAGGGGAAAAGCTTTCAGTGGAGCACATCTATGCCATATCAGAGTCAGAACTTGCTGCCCTACAAGAAATATCTGCAGAAGAACCTGGCCTACAGGTTCATGAGAGAATCCACCTGACCCACTGGGACCCCTGTCCTATTGGTCAAAAAGAAGGATAGAAGCCTCAGCCTTTGTGTGGATTGTCAGGCCCTGAAGCAGGTCTCCATCTACAGTCAGTACCCTTTAATGGAAAATCGTCTACATATTCACCAAGTTCGACCTCTGGAGAGCATATCATCAGGTGAGAGTCAGGGCTGGTGATGAATGCCACTTGGAGTATTTGGTTATGCCCTTCGGGTTCATCAATATCCCAGTCACATTTCAGCACATCATTAACATGTTGTGAGACCTCTTGGACCAATTCATTATCACTTACCTGGATGACATTCTAATCTTCTCAGAAGACTCTGACCAACAAGTGTCACATATCCAGGTAGTGCTAGAGAGGCTGTGCCAACATGGCCTTTTCACAAAGATGGAGAAACATGCCTTTGACCAAATCTCCTGAGTGCCTTTGATAAAACCTGAGTTTCTTGACTTCTTTTGTCCCCAGAATGCTTAAAAATGGACCCCCCAGAAAATCTAGGCCATCTGAAAGTAGAAGGCACCCAGAATGTCAAAGAATTCCAAAAACAGGTTTCTTTACTATTTGTTCCATCCAGGAAGAGCACAGACCAACTGCAGTTGCTTCCTCAACCTGATGAAGGGTATTTATACCCGAAGGCTTGCAAAGAAGAATTTTTCCAACTATTTGAGTTGGTCTAATAAAAGAGATCATATTTACCCAAAGAACCGTATCTCCCTATGTCCTTAGACCAACATGGCTACTACTTATAGCCCTGCACTTTTACCAGTGGTTCATCGCCAGTGTTGCCCAGGTGGTGTCTCCTCTCACTGCTGTGTAAAAACATCCAGTTGTTCTGGTCTGTAGAAACCCAACAAACCTTCAGATACCCAAAGCAGGTCTTTACCTCTGCCCTTATTTTAACGTTTCCAGATCCACCCTTGCCATGTGTGCTGGAAACAAATTTTTTTAGCATGACAATAGATGCAGTTCTTTCAGTGGCAGGGCCTCAAACAGGCCCTGCATCTCTGTGCCGCCTTCTCCTGCAAGCTCATCCCACTAAAACAAAACGATGAGATTTTAGACTGCAAACTCTTGGCCATCCGAACAGCTTTTGTGGAGTGGGGCATGCCACAAGGTAGGTTTTTATTGACCATAAGATCTAGAAATACTTCCAGAAGGCTTAGTCTCCCAGTTAGAGGCAACTTTGGCTACTCTGATTCTAGCATGACTTTCAGATACATTGCCAGCCCAGGCCTAGAAATGAAAAGGCAAACACTTGCTCCTGTAAAGGTGAGTATGACACAGATTCAAGAGTCACATGACTCTAGCCCTATTCTATGGCCTCATAACTTCATCAGCGGCATATTATCAATAGACCTGCTCTCCCTGCTTTGTGCCAACACCCAGGGGAAAATACTCCCAGAAGAGCAAACTGTCTTCATGCAGTAACTACACTGGGTCCAGGGTGGCATCATATTTACCCAAGGTAGTAAGATCTACATGTTCCTGGATCTGAATAGACTAACCATCCTTTACCTAAGCCACAACTCCCTGCTAGCAGACCACCCTGGAACCAAGACCAAACTGCCTCACATCCCACTACTTTTGCTGTTTATGACTACATAAGACAGTGCAGGCCTTTGTCCACTCTTGCAGTGTTTGTGCCCACACCAAGAGACCCCTTCAGAAGCTTTGCAGATTCCTTGAACCCCTCCCCGTCCTGCCTTAGCTGTGATCTACAGTCTCACAGGACTTTATTGTCAAGTCTCCAGTTTCAAGTGGTTGTTATGCAATCCTGACCATAATGGACCAACTTACACAAATCGCCTACTTCATCCCATGCACAGGCCTTTTCTCAGGAAAAGATATAGCCTGGCTGTGGTTGGACCACATGGGGAGAAAACCTTGTCTTGGATTTAAGTAAATATGGTAGTAGTCTAGGTCCAGCCTTTATTTTACCAGTCTTGCCAACTGAATAACAAAGATCCTTCAGACTTGTCAAGTATTGATGTTTACTGAAATCTTGAATGTTGGCTATAGTTGAAGATAATTTTTAGGATTAAAAGTCATTTTCTTTACTCTCTTTCACTGAAAGCTATGTCCTCCACAAAAACAGAGGAATGGTTTATTTCTGTGATTTCCACTGCTCTTATACCTTTAAATGTGTCTTTTGTGACCTGACAGGGATAAAAAAAGAAAAAGGAAAAAAATATAATGTGCATTTAAAAATTAGCTGTGTGCACTGTGGTACTAGAAATGCTACAGAGCACCTCAGTCGTCATTGTGCTGCATGGCACAAGTTATGGATCTACGACCTAATTGCTTGTCTGTGCTTTAATACTTTGGATTTCTTTTAATTTTAACCTCATTCTGATTTTTCTGGGAGTATAGTACTTATTTTTCTGTGGTAGTTACAAGATTCCTGTAACTTATTTCTTTAAATTCCAGGTGTGTATTCTCAATTAACTTAATACAAATTTAGTCTTTAGGTTGGTAATATGATCATAAAGCTCTACCATTTAAAATATTGTAAGAAATGTTAGGGTTTTATAGCCAATTGTTTATAATTGTTTTGTATTTCTTATTTATCAGAACCAACGTACATCACAATAGGCCCACCGACATGTGAGATGTTGGTGAACTGCACATTGACTGAAAAAGATTGTATCTACAGTTTCAAACTGGATCAAAATGGTTGCCGCATTTGTCAGTGCAAAACTAGTGAGTATAAAAAAATCTTTGTGCGTTAAAAGGTGTATCAAGGTATTCTTCAAAATGTTTAAATCGTTTCTGCTCCTCATGGTTGAATAAACCTGTGAAAATCTGAAATGAAAATACCAGTATATGGGTGCATCAAATTGTTCAATTGTAAGGCCAACTATTTGCTTCAGACATTGACTTTGTTTATTAGGGAGAAGGATAACTGAAGTCTTTGGCAGGTAATATTGATAAGTACATAGTTTTTAAAAGCTATGGGTAAAAGATATGGGAGAAATGGCTCCTTCAGGGAATCCTTTTACACTGCAAATTTCATGTTTAAAATTATGTACGTTAATGGAATAGCTTTTATACACATCAGCTATTTTTAATTCCAGGTCGGGACATTTTAAATAATTATTTATTGCTCTTGGGGGAGAAATAAATATAAATGAAGTATAATTAGTTCTAAGATTTACACGAATTTTATAGTTGCTATTTACATCACAGATTTTTATTTGACATGAAGTTTTAATTTGCCATGATTTTTTTTCAATGAAGAAATAAAATGTTGATATATCAGTTATGGTAGCATTCTCTTAAGAAAACAGAAAAACTTGATTCTCTGTATACATTTACATGTAATCAGTGAAATGAAATGAAATGAAAGATGAAGATCATTTGTAAGAGATGCTGCCCCAGTTGCAGGGCAGATTGCAGTATGACTTATCCCTCTACCTTAGAAGTTATGTCAAGGGAAATGGTCTTAAGCTGTTTGTGTGCAAGTGAACAGACATTCACTTTTGATTCCAGAAATCCAGCCACATGCTGACAGTGGCCCAGGCCAGAAGCGGGGGAGGTGGAAGGAGGTGGTGCTAGAGCAGTGGTCACCAACCAGTGGATCTCAATCCACCAGTAGATCTCGGAGCCTCTTGGAGATGATCTGAGGCTGGGGTGGGGGCCTGAGTGCCTGCATGCATGCACGCTTGCACCCCATCTCGTCAGGTCAGACCGTGGGGGAAGGAAGGTGCAGGGGCTAGACTGAGGCCCCCGTGGTGAGAGACAGTGCCTTTGTGGACAGGAAGCCCCCAAGTCTCAGGGACAGAGGCGAAAGCAGGGGTAAGTTGAGTGGAGCCCTGGCCGGGTGGGACTTAAATGCTGGGAAGGCACGCCCCCAAATAATTTTTTCTCCTTCTGCCTCGATCTGCCCCCCACTTCCCTTCCCACAGATTTACCTGCTGTGAGGGAGGGAGGGGGAGTTTGCAGCAGTGCACTGTAGATCTTGAGTTTTAAGTGCCAAAGGTGATCTAGTTAAAAATCTTGGAGACCTCTGTGCTAGAGCGTGTCTCCCTGCTTTGCTAGAGCAGACAGCTTAGGCCAAGGCTAGCCTGCCCACCTTCTGATGGGGGAGCAGAGTGCAGGGGAGATTTGAACCAGTTTCCAATCACTTAATACCAATTTATGTGTAATTTCTTTCCCTAGCCAGTAAGTTCATTAGAGTTCTACAGGTGAAGCCTGGCCAGGAGAAGCTCTGAATTAAGTCATTGCTCTGTGCCCCTTTTCCTGCTTCATCTCACCTGACTTTATTTACATTCTAGCTTTGTAATTTCGGGACTGCGAATGATCTGTGATTCTCTGTCCCTTACCATTCCAGGTGGAATTTCCACCATGAAGGCACAGGTATTATTGTCTGAGCATAGCTGGAAGTATCTGGAGACTGATCCAAAGCCAAGGACTTAATTTTAGTTGTTTGCACAATTTGTTTATTTTCTTTGAATGTTAAGGGTGATTAAAGTCCAGCAGGGAATAATGTGGAAAGTAAACAATAACAGTGGTAGCCATGAAGATACTTATTTTAAAAATCAACTGCACTTGTAAGAAGGGAAAGCTCCCACTGATTTCAACAGGAGCTGGATTGAACTCTTTATCTCTTTTCTATCTTAAGATATAGGGGCACAAGATTCCCTTAACTTCTTCCTGCAAAAAGCAATATCAGTCTGTTAAGTCAGCATTGCATTGAATAGGTCTTATTTCAACAAGTTCATAAATTAAAAGTGTAGTTTAAATTATTTTATATCACTATTTATTTATAGCCCAAAACTCTGAATAATCTCCAATAGATATCATAGAGGGGAAAAAGATACATTTCCACTATTTATATTGTATAAAAAAAATTGGATGCTAATCTTTGTATCTGCAGACAAGGTTCTTTGGGTAAATGTGATATCTATTTTTTGTTAGACCAACTAAATAGCTAGGAAAATTGTTCTTTGCAATAGAGGTGCACCAATACATCGGCCCAATATCAGATTGGCACTGATATAAAGAAAATTGATTGTATTGGAGATTGACCTGATGTGGCCAATTAATTTAGCCAATAAATGCCCATGCATGTGTGCAGCTGCAGCGCAACATGCAGGCAGTGAGGGGCACAGCCCAGCAGCTTGAAGAGCTGTGTGCAGCTGGTAAGTCTGTTGCGGTGGAAGGGAAGGGGAGGGAAGAGGTGTGGGTGGGGCAGATCAATGCCCCCCCATAGTGAGGGAGGGAGTGGGGCAGGGGCTAAGGCAGGCATCTGGAAGGATGCCCCCGGACCTGCACGGGAGGGGGCAGGAGGGGCTGCAGCTGTGGGCTGGGGCAGGGGTGCACCAGGCTCTTCCCAGTGCATGGGGGGGTGTTGGGTTGGGGCTGTGTTCATGCTACACGGCAGCACTGGGAGGGGGGGCTACAGCGAAATTTGGGGTGTCTGCAGACCCTCCGTAGTTCCCCTCCCAGTGCTGCCACTGCCTGCCCTCAGCCCAGCCCAGCCCCTGCCAGGAAGAGCCCAACCCAGCCCCTGCTGCAGCCCACCCCGCCTCTGCGCAGATCTAGGGGCACAACCTACCCCATGCCCTTCCGTGGTGTGTGCAGTGGCAGGAGCCACTCCATGCCCCCTGGATGAGCTGTGAATCCATCCCATGCCATGTCCCACCCCAGCTGGGCGGTGCCTGCCCCAGCCTCACTCACTCCCTCACCGCACAACAGACCTTGATCTGCACTACCTCAGACCCCTTTCCTCCCTCCTCCCACAACAGACTTACCAGCTGCACACAGCTGTATTGGAAATCTGATCTGTATCAGCCGATATGCCTCCTTAAAAATTGGCTATTGCTATTGGTCCCCGAAATCTCTATCAATGCACCCCTACTTTTTAAGCTTTTGAGCACAAACACCCTTCTTCAGGCATAGGGAGAGTCTGCTGTTGTTTTGTGTTCTCCTGGATGGAATAGAAGCCAATATGCAAAATGCAGGTCTATGAAAATGCGACTGTCTGGCACTGAGGATCAGAGGCCATGGCAAATAATAGATGTGAGATAGGTAGGTGAGGGGGGAAAGGGGAATATTGGGCTGATAATAGAATGTACCTGGCAAAGTGCAGACAGGTTGCCTGGGGTTATCAGATGACAGGCAGGTTATAATCTGCCATAAATCCAATGTCTATTCCATGATGACCCACACAGGGTGTGGGGCCTGGGGCAAATCAGCCTGTGCGGAGCCTCACCCTTGGACGTGAGGAAGCTGGCAGCAGATTCGACGGCAAGGGGGAGCGGGGTGCCAAGCGGCTGGACGTGGCGGATTTGGGGGGGGGTGGGGGTGCCGAGCGGCCAGCTGGCCATGAAGCCAGCAGCAGTGTGGAGTTGCCGTGGCCACTGTGGGGCTCTGCGGGGCCTCCAAAGCGTGGAGCCCAGGGTGGTCGCCCCGATTTGCACCCCCCGGGATGGCCCTGTGTATTTTTAGTTCATGATTTTTTTGTATCCAGTAGATTTATGAAGTGAAGTTCATAGGCTTGTCTACAAAAGGTGTTTTGTAAATTCCCTTTGAGGCTTATAATTGAGAGATTGGAGAGAGTGGTCATCTTGTGAGAAGTAGCCACTCATAGGTAATTGGCTCTTTTTGTCCTGGATAGATTTTCAGTGTGCATTCATTCTTGTGCGCAATTGTTTGGTTTCTCCTACATATTTTCCATCAGGGCATTTGGTGCACTGGATTAGATGTATAACATTTCTGGAGGTGCGGCTGTAAGATCAAGGAGTGGTGAAGGGTCTGTTGTGGGGTGTAACATTGTATCTCCTGTAACCTAGTTGCGTTCCCCTCTTACCCCCATCCCTCTATTGTTAGTCCCTCGCTCGGGCAATCTGTATTTCCCTATCAGCTTTGTCATCTTTTTTCTGGATTCCCAATCCTAAACTTTTACTAATAAAAGTCAATTGTGTAGGCAAGCCTATGAACTTCACTTCATAAATCTACTGGATACAAAAAATCATGAACTAAATATAGACATTGGATTTATGGCACATTATAACCTGCCTAACATCTGATAACCCCAGGTAACCTCTCTGTAGTTTACCAGCTACATTCTGTCACCAGGTCACCATTCCTCCCTCCTCTACCTACCTGTGTCACACCTAGGCTAAATACAAGTAGTCAAAAAGTCTGAGGCTGAATTGATTCAGTTTCTGCAGGTTAGTCTAAGATACACAGATTAAATTGATACAGAAATGAACAGACATTGTCTTCTCTTCCATCCAGGAGAACACAAAACTCCAGCAGACTTTCCCTATGCCTGAAGAAGGGTGTTTGTGCTCCAAAGCTTACAAACAACAATTTTTTTCCAGCTAAATAGTTGGCCTAATAAAAAGTATCACATTTACCCCAAAAGCCTTGTCTGCCTATGTCCTTAGACTAGCATAGCTACAACCAACCCCCTCCCCTACCACTGAAATCTTTTTATCATTAACTTACCTAGGTAGAGGTCCTTCCACCAGGAGATGTAAAAATAAAACATTGATATTGCTTCCCCACAAAATGAGCTTTTGTTTGCCAAACAGTTGATAATTTTCTTGTCTCCAGCAGGTGGGGATCTTGAGCTTGCTGAATGAAATGAGTTAAGTCTTTTGGAGAATATTTTTTTTCTTTCATTCCCCTTCACATTCTTTTGGTCGTAGAAAATATTTTTTGTATTTTCTAGTCCATCAGCTAGAAGAGAA